ATTATTATTATTATTAGTATTACTATATTATTATAATATTATATTATAATTATAATTATAATCATAATTATAATTATGATTGTAATGATAATTATAATTATTATAATTATAATTAATTATAGATATAATTATAATAATTACAATTGATTATACTTATAATTATAAGAATTATAATTGTAATTATAATTATAATTACATATAATTATAATATAATATTATAATAATATTAATCATATTATTATTATTATTATATTGTAATAGTAATAACAATAATAATAATAACAATAATAATAATAATAATAATAATAATAATAATAATAATAATAATAATAATAATAATACTAATAATAGTCTTCTTAGTAATTGCATTTATATTACTATTATTATATTAAAATATTATAACTATTATTAATATCTTATTTCTTTATCATATTATTATTAATATATTAATAATAATTATATAATAATAATAATCATAATAGTAATAACAATATTAATAATAATTAATATAATAATAAAAGTGATAAATCATGTTTGAACTTTTCTGATCTGATCTGATCTGAATGTTTCTGATCTGGTCTGATCTGATCTGAATCTTTCTGATCTGATCTGAATCTTTCTGATCTGATCTGATCTGATCTGATCTGATCTGATCTGAATTTTTCAGATCTGATCTGATCTGAATAAAATAAGAATAAGCAATAAGTAATAAGAATAAGACGAACAGAACAGCACCTAAGTACATATCTATTATCCTCCTTTTTCTTTCTTTTGCATATTACTATACGCATGTAGTATTAGTTACGGAGTATCTTAAATATAAAAGTATTACAAGACCTTTTTTTTCATATTGAGGTAAGGGTTAGATTGGTACTCGAAGTTGCATAAAATGGGTCAAATAAGTCCTTATATAGGAGGCTCTGTCCGGCCGTCGTCATTTGGGGCGGTTCCCGGTGGAATTTTTTGACGAAATTTTTTGAGCATCTTATTCATTACGTCTAGTTCACTCATACCAAATTTCAGCTAAAAATTCAACCGGGAAGGCATTCAAATGAATTCTTGAAGATAACTGCGCAGTTGAAAGCGTAGTTATCTTCAAGAATTCATTTGAATGCCTTCCCGATTGAAGTTTTAGCTGAAATTTGGTATGAGTAAATTAGACTTAATGAATAAGATGCTCAAAAAAATTCATCAAAAAATTCCATCGGGAACCGCCTCAAATGGCGACGGTCGGACATTAAGGACTTATTTGACCCTTTTTATGCAACTTCGAGTACCAATCTGACCCTTACCTCTTTTTTTTTCTTTTACCGACCGAGACTCGAGAGTGTATCAAGATCAATGAAAGAAACTAATTATCCAGGTATGCATGTTATCCATATATATTTTCTATTTGTATATGAATTTTATTTAAAAATCAGAATATTTTTCTGATTTGAATATAAAAAGAAGATAACACATATAGTGACATATTAATGTTAATACCTGCAGGAGTGATGATTTCTTGAAGATATTTGAGCAGATTCGTGCTGATAACGTGTTGTGAAATTGTCACGCCCCGGACCGCGATCCAAGCACGTGTACAACCGCCGTATAATCAAGTGACGTCACCCGCGAGTCAACCTCACTTAATTACACAAGGCGTTCGAGAATATAAACCATCCATACTCAGTAGTAAACATACATAACAACATCACAATTAAACCAATGAATAGCGGAAATATTCAACGGTAAGTCATAAGCCACAACCGGCCAACAACATGGGCATGCAAGCCCCAAAAGTAGTTTATAACAAATAAAAATATCCATGAGCAATGTTTAGTCATTTGAAAGGAAATGAGGAAGCACGAACCACGTCTTCCTTGACTTGATGTCACCCGTAGAAAGGTGCAGGTAGCAAGCCCTAGCTTCAACCTGAAAATGGTGGGGCCCCCCGAAGGGGTCAGTACAAGTACCGAGCGAGTAGCAGGCTAAATATAGAATAACTAGCGTTTCAAGTATAAGACCCAAACATAGGATGATACATATACGTATAGTCCTTCCCCCAAGTTTGAAATACATATTAGTATACATACACTTGGAAATACCCGACCCGTAGGTCATTGTTTATTTGGGAAAATAATAGTAGCCAATATCCTTGACTTAAATCCCAACCCACCCATATACCTATGAGTGTATAGAACTCCTCCTTGGTCAAATAAATTATCATAAGGACACCACCCGGTCCTAGATCATTAAATGTAATCTATGAGTTTTGAGGATACACGCCCGATCCTTGGGTACTCCACCCTATAATTGAGTTTTGAGGATAACCGCCCGATCCTTGGGTACTCCACCCTATATAACCGAGTTTTGAGGATAACCGCCCGATCCTTGGGTACTCCACCCTATATAACCGAGTTTTGAGGATAACCGCCCGATCCTTGGGTACTCCACCCTATATAACCGAGTTTTGAGGATAACCGCCCGATCCTTGGGTACTCCACCCGACCTATGACTTACCACATATCACACTAGATAGGGTCTATATCATATTTAGCCATTCACAACTAATTCAATACATAAAACTTATGTATCACATTCCATGCAAAGCCATGCAATTATGAAAATGTGTCATTAATTAATATCGACCGGTATTAATTAATCCATTATCCACCGGTCAACGTGATCGTTGACCGCCATTTCAAACCTTGTACAAATCAACTTAATCATCACATAATTAAGTTAAAATATTCATTTGTGCTTCTAATACACTTCAAGCAAATATGCATTTTATATAATTCTTCATATCATGTTTCATGTATAAACCATTAATTCTTTTCATACATACTTATCTATGTTGGCTAATCACATGTTTAAATATCTTTTAAACATCATTTTGAACACTTATAACATTTATTTAGGTAATCTTATAATTAACCCAAAAGTTATAAGATATTAAGCCGTCCACTCACCTTGAACTAGCGTTAAGAAGTTCTACCCTTCTTGGTTGAACTTCGGTGAAACTCCGGCGACTTTTGGTCAACTCCGGCGACAACTCCGACGACTTTTCCAACTTTGTGAAATCACTTGAAATACCCTTTACAAGTGCCTAACAAGGTTTTATAATCATAAAACCCATATTAATACAAATAACCTCAAAAAGGTTATTTTCCGGTGAACCGGTTATTTTGGCTCCTAAGTCCGTTCTTGGACGTAGAACCACCTTCCAACCCATGAATCCATACTTATAACATATGGAACCATACTAAAGGTTCTTCATATGATATATACTTCATATGGTGGAGGAAAAATAAAGGAAAAGTTAATATAAGGTCATTACCTTAATTGTTCACACTCTTCCCAACTTTTTTCCCTCTTTAATCTTCTTCCTTTGAGCACTAAAGCTTGAGCTCAAATTTGCAGCAATGGAGGTGAGTTTGAAGCTCCTTCTCTCCTCCTTGGATGGTGTGGTTGAGCTAATGGGGTGAGGGGGGTTGGAGTTGGCTCTTTTGTCTTGCTTGGACAATGAGTGAGGGAGAATGGGCCCATGGGTGTACCTTTGATGCTCATCACCTCACACTCTCCCCTTACAAGTCAACCAGCCCTCTTTCCTTGCCCATCCCAGCTCACAAAAACGTGGGGTGGCCCCCACTCATGTGGGAGGTCATCCCTTTGTGTCCCGATGTGTACAATCGGTCCCGAAAGTTGTATTTTTCGGACTGTTTTAAACATGTTTCATTTTATCGGGTCAAATAAAATATATTGTGTGCTCTTACTCATTATGACATGTATAATGAATATGCATTCCCCAACTTTAATTTATAAGCCTCCGAAATTCGGTTCGGACTGCTATCCGTTAAATTGTCGGTACCGATATTTGGGCTTCTTTTGCCCAATCGGCCAACACAGGGCCTTTCCACGACCCAAGTAAAATATCCACCACCATATAAATATTATCTTGACCAAGATGAATAAAATATGCGGTCTCGGGAATGTTGGGTGGCCCCCGCTCCCGATGTGGGCCCCACGTGCAATTTACTATTCACGCGAAAGAAAATAACAAAAATTTACAACCTCGTAAATTCATTAATCCTTTAATAAGGTTCAATACATTATTTACATAGAAGTAAATATATTTGGGGACGGTGTTACAGAAATGAAGATGAAGAACAAATTAAAGAGATAGATATATGAATAATAAGATCTAAATTATACTTCTTTTTAATATCAAGATTTCTCTGAATTTCTGAGTTAAATTACAAAGGATTGATCAAGCCCTATTTATACTAGTTGGGCTTGGTGATGAATCATCACAGAACAGTTCTACATATTTTGTTGGCAGAAGTAAACCTAGCCATCTGTCTATTACAAGGATTTGAATTGGATTAGTGTCCTGATGACAAGGATAAACAATTCACACCTGTCATTCTCAGGAATTTACAACTACATACTTACTAGTACTCCCTCTGTATCACATATATCTTTCCACTTCCAAAGTGGGTGAGATTAAGAATAGTGAAATGAGATATGAATTATTGAGGGTATGATGGGAAAATGGTGAAATAATGTGATGGAATGAAGGATAAATCCAAAAAAAGTAGGTGTCGTAGTGTATTATTTTTTAAATTATTGAGGGTATGATTGGAAGATTTAGAAATGAGAAGATATAAATGTTACGTCCAAAAAAGGAAAGTAGGGAGATATGAAAGTTACGGAGGGAGTATTATTTAATGCAAACATGTTAAAAATCTCTACCAAGTACCAGGTACTGTGTTGTAGTACGTGCCGAATTTTTACAGATTTTGACTTTTCGAAAGGCAGAAACGACATTTTTTTTATAGAAACGTGCTTTTGATGTTTTTTAATTCATACTCCGTACTCAGTACTTTCTAAACACCGATACATTACTTATACTAGAAAACGGAGAAGGGTATATATGTTTGAATTGAGGGCATTAGATGGTTTTCACTTTTCAGAAATATATACAAGTACATCTTTTCATATACTAGAGGTTTTATGAACAAATTAAAGAATAACATGTATGTTGAATGTTGATAAAGCAATACAATACAATCATTCTATTCCACATCATAGACATTGTATTAATCAAGGAAATATGCAAAACCCTTGAAAACCTACACCATCCAAAAACCATCCATCCACACTGAATCTATATTTATTAGGCTGGAGACCATAGGGTTTCAGGGTTTCTAAACTACATGGTTCCTATCACTATAAAATTAACTCTATCATATTACTTTATAATGCACTACCAATATTGGTACAATGGTCGATTTGGCTAAAATGGTGGATATTTGCCAGAGTGGTGCCAATATCACCTTTTAGCTGCTTGGCACTTCATACAACCTCCAAGAGCCAGAAATGTGATGTCCAAAAATAACTAATCCATTAACAGCCAATATCACCCTTTAGCTGCTTGGCACTTCATACAACCTCCAAGAGCCAGAAATGTAATTTCCAAAAATAACTAATCCATTAACATTAGTCTTCAACTCTCGGGAGCTTTCAATTTCAGTTTTCCATGATTTTTTTACAATTGAGACGAGTATTTTTTCTTTACACCTGACTACTTATGTCTACAAAAAGAGAGCACAAACACAATATAACACATGACGAAGTTGTTCAAACAACCATTTCAGCCTCTGCAACATCATTAGGGATCCCCACATCCAACCTCATTGTTGACTTGTACCGTTCAGGCACGGCCCCACCTGCCTGTACACAAATCTCCACCACTGCCGGAGCTTGACCATAGAAACTCCTCAGTTCCCTCTTCATTTCCTCATTCAGATCAGGGACGTGCCAAACATACCTAGGAGGGATCAAGTCGTCCAGTACGGCAGCCTGCCATCCATGCTGCCCATTGCGTTGCTGGTGCTTATGTGCCCCACAATTCTGCGCTTTGTGTCCGCTATGCCCAACATGTACCTCTGGACAGTAACCGCAAACTCTCACTGGATACATCTTCATTAACCTCCTCGCTCCTCCTCTCATGGTTTCCCACGCTCGGACCGTTTCTTCAGCCAAAAGAATTGTCTCATCCTTCCCAGACGGAGGTGATACATCGGCATCAGAAACCTCATTGAATATCAATGGCTTTGAAGGTTCCGGTATAGGGTCTGGTAAATCTGTTTCATCTGCGTCGATAAACTCTCTCTTTCCGATGCGGATTATTGGTTTTCTCCTTCGTTTGGTGGGGTACTCCGGTAAATCGACCCCGGCTTGGATGCAGAGCTCAACCACTGCTGGGATTCGAGGGATTGAAAACCTCTCCTCATGACAAATCCGTTTCCCCAAACGGTCATAGAGGTGGTAAGATTCAAGTTGTACCATGACATCTTCAACAAATGCCTCTCCCCACTCGTGAAGTCCTTTGCGGATCGAAACGTCTGGGCCCCTACACGACTTGAAAGGATGCCCAACGGGTCCGACGTGAATCTCATTACACCACCTGTGACAAATGAATTTCCAATATAAGCTACTAAGTCAAATAAAGCTCAAGCCCTATAGGGGCATTGTTTGGGGGGATTTCAGAGGGAGGGGAGGAATGAATTTTCGTTTGCTAGTTTATCTGCATCTGTTCATCTTAGACCAGAAATTACGATTATGCAGTACTCGGTATATACTTTCAGTTATATAATTTTCATCTTCACTCTTTCTAGTTGATCTAAAACTTAAGAAGAAATAAATACAACATCCAAGCCGTATTCCAAAAAGAGTTCGGTGTCAGCTAAAAGACGAGATAAATATACCATTCCTACCCTGTGGAATTCCACAATCAAACATAAGCTTAGAGGTACACGGAAGGAAAGACGAGATATTCAGGCTGGACCGCTGGACAGCATAGAAGATGCATATTGGTAGTCAAGTATGATAAAATGTAATACAATGTACCTGAGTGTGTACAATTTCATTGGATATAGTATATATAAATTTATAAAGATATCGTCATATCGCCATGGTTATTTCTTTTAGTTGGTGAATAAAAAGATGACTTTCAAATGACAACAAAATTAAGATAAGGTCATTTTGGGAGGCTAAGCTGAAAAGCTTGCTGAAATCTTATGAGTCGGTACCTAGCTGAAAACTAGTCGTATTTGATGTTTGAAAAGAAGTTGTATTTGGGGTGAGGAATGTTTGGTGAAATGCGCTGTCAAGTTGTTGGGTAAACTAAAAAGGTAATAGCTTATTTCTGAAAATCTATAGGAGGTAACTTTTCACATAAAAGCATATTGGAAGCTCTTATTTTATTTAACAAAACAGGACTGTAATCAAAATTCAATTCCCTAGTTTCTCCAGAGTGATGAGGTAGAGACTTTACTTGCAAGCATGAACAGGCACCACCTTCAAGAGCCGCTTGAGATTATTTATCAATGTTATTCGTGCATTCATCACTCTATATGCAAGTGGAATCAGTCCTTTAATGACCAACCCAACTTTTGGTGGAGGCAAATGTCCCCTTGGTTGGGTTAACCTGTTCTTCTGTCTCTCCCTGGCAGCTCTCCTTAATTCTACAATTGGTACAGGAAACGGCTTCCTCTCCTTTCTTGAATAGTAACGTGGAAAATCTGCATTTTGTGGATGGGGGTCGCCACATCTTATGCCTTGGAGTTGAAGCAAGTTCCTTGATCGCCTTGGCAATCTCACTATCAGTATACTGCTGCTACTTCCCTGAAAGAAATTACCAGATGTGTTAGTGCTGTTTGGGGTGAGTTTGAATGACTTGATTTCAAGGAGTAAGTGTACTATAAGAGGAATAAACTTATTTTTGCTTTTATTAAAGAAAGCTTTTGCATGAAATGGAACAAGAGCCTTTAACATTAAGAAGCACTTTTAAATTTTTAATGCTTATTTGAGAAAGTAGCAAATGCTTAATCAGCAAACTAGCAGAGCACTTTAAGATCATGAGAAAGCACTTATGCCATACATTGTCCAAAGAGGCTCTTAGTTCACTCAATTTGGTGGGCATAGTTCCATTTGAACCTTTGAAAAACATATACTAGAGGTGCCATTTGACTCTCTTAAATTTAGATGTAATGCATGCAGTCCAAACTAGCTATTGACTCTTTTTTGGTTGCATATATTTATGTGTAACGCATGCCTTTAAAAGATGCATAACTGTACTTGGTCTTTTTAAATTCATAACTATCGCTACCACAGCCCCAGTTACTAGCCTTTCACTCTACTTGGTTTTTTTAAATTCATTTGTTGGTTAAACTGGATTTGTTAATTCATCATAACTTGTTCCAAGCAGCATTTGTACAAAAAAAAGCTCAAAAAATTAACTCCTTTAATCTAAAATATTCTCTTTTATTAGCATACTTTTTTAAAACCGGACTTTTTGTTGGAGATGGAGAAAATGTCACCATAGATTGGATCTTATATACCAACACTTGTTGGCAGCGGAAAATCAAGTGTAGAATTTTGCTTTGTTTCCCCTCCAGCAAAGGAACGTTTATGTTTATATAGTTTAAGCCCCGTTTAGGTTAACATTTTGGTCGCTATGCATAGCAGATGATGGCTAACAACATGCATGAATATATTTCTTCTTTCTTCTTGCCTTCACTTTATAGCTTCTAACGTTGGTTTTTTTAATTAATTGTAATGAGAATATCTGCTGATTATCCATTGACAAATTGAAGAAACATCATTAATCTAGGAATTACTTTATTATTTCTGTAACTACGGCTCTTTAGCGTCTGCTCAGGTTGTAATAATTAATATGTGTCTGTTCAGTTTATATGTAGTATTTATTTTTGTTCAGTATCTAGACAGTCACCTAGGTTCTGAACCGACACTTCCTAGGTATCTCTTCCCTTAGAACTAGCTTTCTATAAAGATATGGCTGTACTTCTTGTATAACCAATGTTCTATCAATAATAAAATACAGAAAACTTCAATATTTGAAGACATTTACCTTGGCGTATATAAGGTCAAAATGATTACAAATAGCTAGAAAAATGCAAGCTAATGTTTACAAACCTTAAGAGCATCAAGTGAGCTAAGAGCGTGGGGGTTGCATCCAAACGTAAAAGGTTGGATAGTATGGAGCTGAAAATGCGGCCAGCTACAGTTCATCGCTGAAATAAACAAATAAATTAAAAGTACTAGTACTACACCAATAGACTAAATCTTAAAAAAAAGACTAAATCTTAAACTAATACTCCGTAACACGTATCCAACTTGTATCTAGCAAACATAACCATTTGCTTATGTAGAAGAATAACTTTTTGAGATAAAGTATTTCAGGGACCATCTCGCGCCAGCCTGTTGTACTGTAGAAAATTCAAAAGGTTTTGCTAAACATGAAGGTTTGAATCCAAACCTGAGGGCTGTACCTATCCTTGCCCCTAGAATGTTGATGGAGCAGTTAAATATGGAACATTTCAGGCTACATCTCTAATCTTTCTTGAGTCTTAACTACAATGGGCCTAAACAAATTAGAGCTTGCTCACTATGAAAATCAAACGGAGGCCTGGGAGACTTGGTCTTAGTGGGACTTGAAATTTGACTGGTTTGAAAATGAGAAGGGAGGCAACCATGCCAAAACCTCTAGTGCCAAGAATTTTCAGTGCATTTTCGCATCGCATGATTAACGGAGGGTATTTACGGAGCCAGAGACCTTGGTGGGGAGGGTTTTCAAAACCAGATATTACCCAGATGGTATTTTCTTTCAGCTCAACTGGGAAGTAACACGTCCTTCGTGTGGAGGAGCCTGTTTGAGACTCCGAAAATCATTAAGGAAGGATACATTTGGAGGGTAGGTGACCGTAAGTCCATTAAAACTCGGAAGGACCCATTCTTACCAGACAGTGATAATCCTAAAGTGACTACTGTTCGGGTCACTGGTCCAGAAAATTCCTTGGTCAATGGGTTGTTGTGTGAACTGAATCAGGCTTGGGATACTGATAGTTTACACGATCTATTCACTAGTAGAGATACTAAGCTTATTCAAAGTATCCCAGTGAGTAGAAGAGTGGTACCTGACAGTATGATTTGAGGGTGGGAATTGGGAGGCAGATTTCAGTTCGGAGTTGCTACTGAAAAATTACAGGTGAATTTCAGGCTCCGGACTGGAAGGGATGGACGGTGGTTTATGTGGTAGCGGGGATGAATCGTTGTTATACCTGTTTGTTCAGTGTTCGGTGGCCAGAGCTCGGTCGGCCGGTCGTCTGTGGGGTTGCCGGCTAGCTCATTTCTTGAATGGGTGCAGCGGCTTTTCCTGGTGAAGAGGAACGGGGAGTTGCAGAGGGTTGCTTGGGTGTGTTGGAGTATTTGGGTGTGAAAGGAATCGAAGGATTTGGAATGGGAAGAAGATGGATGTTCATCAACTTTTGGGTAAGGCAGAATCTTTTGTTAATGGATGATTGGATGGCTTCAGGCAAAAGAGCAAAGAAGGGCTTTTTGTACTCAGGAGCAGAGCTCAAATTCGGTGCGGAAACTACCGACTGGAGCTGGGGTGTGAATGAATAAACATTGCTCCGTATAAACAGTGAGAAATATAATAAATTTTAGTTTCCAAACAATTTATAATTTATCAAATTACAAAATTAATCATAATATTTTATAATGTTTATTCATTCACATTTATTTTAAACATTGTACTCATTTTAGTATATCACAAAGTTCGTGTTAATAATTAACACACAATATTAATATAATTAACACACAAATTTATTATTAATAAATATTCATCTTAAAATTAAAAATAGAAAAAAGTTGATACCTAGAATCTTCATAATGCACACTTTGAAGAAATATTTAAGTTATAAAAGAATGTTGACTACAAAAAATGAATAAAAAAAGAAGCAAGTTGGGACCTAGTTATAAGAACACATTTTTTATAAGTTAAAATTAATGAAACACTTTCCTAAGAAAAAATGAAAAGGAAATAGAAGCAAAGAAGTGGGTAGCATACTCAAGCTTAAAATTCCAATATATTACAAAAATTCGTAATTATACCACACTCATAGTACAATCTATTGTAGGATATGATTTACCAATAAAGTATACTCCATAACTAGTAGCTCAAAGTATTGAGGATATTTTTAATTGGAGTGTTTTCATTCCAGAACAAATCAAATCAGACCAGATCAGACTTAAACAATTATAAATTATATAGAGATCAGATATTATCAAATCACACCAGATCAGACCAAAAAAATTAAGGGATAACTATCATAAATTTGAAAATATAATATATAAATTCCAAACTTTATATAAAATATTATAGAGAAATGCTATAGGTACTCCAAAATGGGGTACCTCATTCTTACTCCAGCCTAATGTGTGGCCACAAATGGGACAACATATTTAAGTAAGGTATCGCTTAAATGTGTTGCCCATTTGTAGCCACACATTAGGGCAAGGTAAGAACGACGCACCTCATATTGGAGTACCTTTAGCATCAGTCAAAATTATATTGACACCACAAATCATATATTTTTCACAAATGTATATTTTATGGTATTAAGCACATAATAATTTAGAATACACAAAACATTTATGAGGATACAATTAAAATTAAATCGTATCGGATATAATATTATTTATTGCATGAAAAGAAATTTTAGAATGTTAATTGCATTCTAACAAGACTTAAAGTATTTTAAATTATGTAGTTTTTGTGCTATTCTTTCTAATCTGTTACAGTATCTGTTCTGTTAAGGCCAACATCCTTGAACTAGGATGAGATTATAACATGTTACCCCCTCTTTAGATGTGTCACAGTGATGCCATCAGACCATAAGATACTTGACAACTATGTAGTTATTACAATCAATACAATAAAGGAGGAATTTGACTTTGGACCTCACTTTTTGGGTGATATTGGGCTTTGCATCCCATTTTGGAAAAAACTTTTATTTTGCACCCCAACAACAACATTTTGTGAAGAAAAATTGTTAAGTGTGCGAAGTCAAATTCGCATACAATCTTGATGAAAAAATAACTTTTTATATAAAATTCAGGTAAATATATTACACATTCAAATTATTTGAGGTACTTATCTTACATCCCATTAAAATTTGAGGTATTTCCCCCTAATTTAATTTAATAATGCAAGTAAAACTTTACTAGTAACAAATTTGGAGAAATGATAGAATTACTGGAGAAATTATAGAATTACTGGTTACCGATATTCCAATTTCCCAGTTCCTACCAATCTACTCGTTCAGAGAAACAGAGAGTAAAACAGCTTAAAGGTCTTGAAGTGTCCGGAGTGATATTACACTGATATCCTGGCGGTCAAGGAAGAGGGCGAGCCCGTATCAGCTATCGAGACAGAGCTAAGTCCAGCTAGCTGAACTTCAATGGCTTATCTGCTCAACACCTGTCCGCCGATGGCATTCTCTAATATCAAATCTTACCCAGTCCTAACTCCGCACCTTTCATCTCAAATCTCTCGGTTTTCTTCAAGTATGCAGCTTCGACCCTCCCACATTCATTGAACATTTTCCTTAATCACTGTTTTTTTGCTTTAATTAGAATGTGTTTTTGTTGCCCAAGGGAGGAGGCTTTTGGTAAGGGCAGCTGAGACTGAGAGTGAAGGTAAAAACACGAGCTTTGGATTTGGAATCTCCCCTTTTGTCCATTCATTCCGGTTCTAATGTTTTTTTTGGGTACAATTGTCCGGCAGTTAAACTTAATGTATCAGATAAGGCACCTCCTGCTAGTGATTCCGGCATTAATCAAATTCTTGGTATCAAAGGTGCGAAGCAAGAAAAGGTGGGCTGCCCATTTTTTTCTCAGTTAATCCTTCCTCCATTTACGAATTTCTTGGGGTTTTCTGTGTGATATACTACCAATTGCATTGTGTTTCATATCACAAATCAAGATAGTTTACTTTGACTTGTGTTTAAGCCCACATTGCTTGGCTGGACATAAAAAGATTGCCAATTTTTTTGGTCTTCATGAAGACACATTTTGTAAAACTATTCTAGCATTAGGTTTGGAAAGAGATAACTATCCAAGAACTTGTCACACATTAGTTAGTTATGAAATAAGAAATCATTATATATTAAATCGAACTACTTCTTGTATATAGTTGGCCTTGTAGGATGAAATCTCAAATATAAATATGATATTAGAGTCTTCCAATCCATAGCGGTCCCTATGATGCATGATATAGCTGTTTGTATCTTTTTGGAGAAACCCTACTCATAACATATGTTCGTGTGTGCCATTATAAAGTGCGAAGATTGCATTCACAAGTAGTTGTGGATTGGTTACTTGGTCAAGTTTGTATGATGAAATTACCTAATTGATCATCGAGGTCCTTTGCAAGAAAGAACCTACCTAGTGCTTCATAATGTTCGTAGTAAAGCAGTTCATGAATGTCCAACTCAGGGTTCCTAGCCAGTGCTTAGAGCCTTAGACGCCCTGCCCTTAAAATTACTAATTTTTAAAAATAGATATTCCGCAGTATATAATTGTAACTTAAGTCTAGTATATCCATAGAATATTTTGAAAGTGTAGTAATCACCAATAAAATACCAGTTAAAGGTGCCCAAAAAGAAGGCGATATTTAACATTCCACTTTTGGCGTAAGGATAGCTAGCACCTAACCTGCCGCCTAGGACGTTTTTAACAACAATGCATTCTGCCATGTTAATATCTTTGCCAATGGCCCATGAGCTTTAGATCTTTGATGTTTTCCTTATTAGAAGCATCATTTCATGGTATGAAGTTAGAAATAGTACTTTTCAATATTTACCATTATCTTTGGCCATTTTAGCATTTAGATATAATAGATACTCCCTCTAGTTCTTAATGAAGTTCTCACATTCCTTTTAGGCAACTTCTAATTATGAAATGACAGCCCTCATCTCATTTACCCCTTTACACCCTGACCCCATTTTTACTTCATTAGCAGGGGTGGGTTAGTAGTTGCAAGGGGGGAAAGTTCAATAGCAAACTAGAAGGTTAATAGTGATAAGAGTGTATTGCTTTAGATCCCAGCCCCAACAGAATCACACAGAGTGAGGGGTCCAAAAGCAGAGTCTGTGTACTGAAGGCTGAGCGTGTGACCCAGCACATTGGCCTCGACCTCGGTAAACTGCTTAAGAAATCAGCATAACTAACAGAACTTAGACGCTGATGTCGTCTCACACTCTCACCCCGCACATACGTAAGGACGATCCCAAACAGGGACACATGTATGCCTTGAGTTGATATTAATGTGACTGATTGCCCAAGCTGATCAGAAAGACACGTGGCACACATCTAGATAGCTTAGGGGTTTCCCTCTTAGTATAAATACCCCTATTCGGATTGTGGAAAGGGGTTAACATCTTCTAATCAAAATGCATTTATACACTTTACTTTTTCTCTCTAAAATAACTCTCACTTCTCTCTAGACTTGCGGTTTCAATTCATGAAATAGTATGACTTTTCATAAGTGTTGGCTTCTTTACAGGACAAATGGAAGATTCGTGTTCAGCTAACAAAGCCTGTTACCTGGCCTCCCCTTGTCTGGGGAGTGGTCTGTGGGGCTGCTGCTTCAGGTAGCCCCTTTGCAAATTCTTTCATTTATTCTTATTATTGTAATTGTTACTGTTATTTTTATTATTATTATTATTATTATTATTATTATTATTATTAGTACTACTATTTTTTTTTACATAAAATCAATTCATAACTGACTTCAATTAAGAGTTCTGTAAATGTAGATTCGAGACATCTAGCATGCACACGGGTCCAGTAAATTCAAGGTTAAACTTGCAAATAAAATTTACACATAAAATTAGACTGCGTAGTTCTTTTAGGGACAGTTCTCTCGACCTAGCCATTGCAAATTAGATTTTCCTTTTCAGCCCCAGCCACTAGAAAAGGCAAACCAAGACCACTATGGGTTATTGTTATTATTATTATCATGGATGCCAAGACCATTTTGGCTGAATATCCCTTGGGTCTTCTGGGAGTCAAACTAACGACCTTATGGGCATTTTGGTCTCGGATTTTGTTATAAATTCAATCTACTTTGATGAATGGATAGAAATAAACAAGAAAGAAAAGCCACATGTTTTGTTTACCCAGTTAGTAGCGACTACTACGGGAGGCACTGTCAAACTAGGGCTCTTCACTAATTTCCTGAGAGGCAAATAATATAAGAGAGTAGAGACTATTTATATTAGGGATGCAACCCCAGTATAAATATATGTGGACAAAGCCAAAAACGGTCAAAAGTTTCGGCCTAGACGTGTATATATGGATTGCAGTTAGTTGGCTTGAATGTTCAGTATGACTTGGTGTGCAGTCTCAAGAGTGCAACACGTTTAAACCAATCTTGCAACCAATTACTTTTTCTTGCAAATTCTTTCAAGAGTTGATTGTAAAGAGGTAAAAAAACTCGATTAATACTTCAGCTGGTCAATTCAAGGTTTCATAGGTTTCGTATCCATTTTGCATCATTCTATAGTTATTTACTATTATATCCACTTCTGGTAGGGAATTTCCACTGGACTCCTGACGATGTAGCCAAATCAGTTGTTTGCATGCTAATGTCTGGCCCTTTCCTTACGGGCTATACACAGGTAAAATGACCCAGCAATGGTGATCTTTGATACAAAACTAACTCAGAAATCTAACAATGGTATCTTTGTCAGACACTTAATGACTGGTATGATAGAGAAATTGATGCTATTAATGAGCCCTACCGTCCAATTCCATCTGGGGCAATATCTGAGAATGAGGTACACCATTTACTCTATATATTAATTCATTATTATTATTATTATTATTATTATTATTATTATTATTATTATTATTATTTTTATTATCATTATTATTCCATATGGTCCTTCTGCTCCATATAAGTAATTATGATAAAATTACACAAATCAATAAACGTATTCAAAGTACTCAACAGTAGGTCCCAATCTACCATTATTCTCGTTAATCATCACTTTTTCATTAATGAACAACACAAGCACACATACACTCAGAGTCTTTAACAAGAAGAATAGCAAAAAATACTCCCTATGTCTCAAATTGGTTTGCCAAGTTTGATTGGTACGAGGAGTAAGCAAATAGTAACTGTTTGGTTGAGATTTATGGAGAGAAGAGTGAAACAATGTCAAACACAAAGTTATTTTCTTAAAGTGAAATTGACAAAACTTATTCCGAATTGCCAAATTAGGAAAGTTATCAAACCTTTCAGGAATGGAGGGAGTATTAAATGTTTCATTGGAATGGTAAAATCCCTTATAACAATGAGCACCAATACCTTCTATATGACCTTGAGAGTTCTCTCTCTCTCTCTCTCTCCGTCAATATATTTTTTGTGTTTGTTCTGAGTATGATTTGCCTCAGGTTATCACACAAATATGGGTGCTGCTTTTAGGAGGCCTTGGATTGGCTGGTTTATTGGACATATGGGTAGGTGGTCTTCAAATCTGCTTAATCTTGTAAATGTCATCTGAAACATACTGAGAAGTTGCTCCTTATAGGCTGGACATAACTTTCCAACTATATTTTATCTTGCTCTTGGTGGATCTGTGCTGTCTTATATATACTCGGCTCCACCATTGAAGGTAATCTTTCTCATTTTTTGAATTAACTGTTAATGATAAAAACATCTTAGCTTAGAGCACTGAGTTTTAAATATTATGCAGCTCAAGCAAAACGGATGGATTGGAAACTTTGCTTTAGGGTCGAGCTACATCAGTTTGCCCTGGTAGGCCCCATTCTAGAGATTTTTTTCCCATTTCCTTTTTCGCTCTTTCCCCTTATTATCTTGTTTGTTTCCCTTTTTCCCCCAATGGGCACTTGAAAGTTCAATTCTGTAAATATGCGGTGTATGGAGTACTAAGTTTACATATTATCTTACTTTTTGTTACCTTGTAACATAACTGTCTTCATTTTTGTGTGTTATGCAGGTGGGCTGCTCAAGCTTTGTTTGGGACCCTTACACCTGACACAGTTGTTCTTACACTCTTGTATAGCATTGCGGGGGTAATACGGAACACATTTTCTCTCAGTGTGTAAGCTGAAATTGTGAAGAAGAAAATATTAAATAAGCTTTGTGATCCTCCATTTCAGCTGGGCATTGCAATCGTGAATGACTTCAAGAGCATTGAAGGAGATAGGGCCATGGGACTTCAGGTCCTTTTTCTACATTCAATTTATGATGCACTATATTTGGTATTTGTTAATGTGTAAAATTACCTAAACGTTTTGACCTTAACATGTTCACCTCCCATCAGTCAATTCCTGTAGCTTTTGGGTCTGAAGCTGCTAAATGGATTTGTGTTGGTGCCATCGACATAACACAATTATCTGTGGCAGGTAACTTCCAATGAGCGATTTTCATGTAGGAGTATGGAGCAAAAATGGAGTCTGTGTAATAGCTCTTCATAATTAAGACTGACTGACTATTTGGGTTTTTTTCTTTCATATACTCCATTAGTCAGCACATTAATAATTGCTTGCAGGCTATCTTCTTGAAATTGAGAAGCCATATTATGCATTAGCCCTTCTTGGTCTAACAGTACCACAAATATTTTTCCAGGTAAACCATACTGTTATTACATAACCTTTCTCATTATATACACTTAGCTCCTCCGCTAGCCCGCTTCATACATCTGTATGAGTAATAATTTTGAAGATTGAGGAAAACAAAAAAGTGTGATTTAAGTTATTTTGAAAATGATCAACTAAAAACATTCTATCTTCTTTGTTTGCTGTTGCAGTTCAAATACTTGCTAAAAGATCCTATTAAATACGATGTAAAGTATCAGGTACTGTCTTTTCCTTTCACTTCATGTAAAACACAACCTGTTGAGAGTTTCATGTTGGAAGATTAGAAAGGAACATGTCGTTTTATAAGACCTTGGGTTTGACTAGCTAGAAGATTGGATTCAAGTGCCTTATGATCTGGTTGAGTGGACTAATTCAATCTTGAGTATTATCATGAAAATTCTACAATTGGTTTTCAATGTGTTTAAAAATACGGATCTTACTATTACATAACACTTGACTGACCCCAAAAGGATACCCTTTTGTTGCAGGCGAGTGCACAACCATTTCTTGTACTTGGTCTCTTAGTAACCGCATTAGCAAAAAGTCATTGATCTTCATGTAGAGATGAGCTCCTTGGTCAACTTAATGGTTTTGGTGCAGCAAATTAGGGCTAGTTTTCTTCATAGATTTTTGTCGCTATTGGTTAAGATCTAATTTCATTCATGCAGTTTACATTTGTTGTGTATAAAGTAGAAGTTGTAAATGGATGTAGCTTGTGAACTTATGGGGCATATATTATAGTTTGAAGATGTGGATTTTGAAACAAATGCACAAATGCACAATATTCAGAGGGCAACGGTTAATGAGCATTATTTCAGTTTAAAAAGATGACACTTCATCCTTTAGCCCAATAGCCCCTCAAAACTGATCGAACAGTTATTTGAGAGGGTGTAAATTGAGGATTGATGACAAATTGATGGAGAGAAATTGGGTATCAATTCACGTTTTTGGATTAGGGGTGGACTCGGGCCGGGCGGCCCGAACCGGAACCGGCCCGGCCCGGTCACTGTTTGAACCGGCCCGGCCCGGCGGCCCTGCCCATGGGCGGTTCGGGTCGACCCGGCCCGGTGGCTACCGTTTCCGGGCTCGGGCCTTCATTTTGGTGAACCGGCCCGGCCAGTTCGGGCGTATTTAATTTTTTTTTTTTGATTTTTTTTAAGTTTTTGGGTTGGATTGGGTATTTTGGGCCCATTGAAGTGGTTTGGGGTGGTTTGGGGTTGAGGGGGAGGGTAGCGGGTTGATTAGGAAAACCCAAAAAAAAAATTATATAGGCTCGAACCGGGCCTGGCCCGGCCCGGCCCGAACCGGACCCGGGGTTACCCGGGCCGGTTCCAGGCCTCCCCTACCTTGAACTAAGGCCCGGCCGGTTCAAGGCCCGAACCGGGCCCAACCTGGAACCGGTCCATCCCTATTTTGGATGGAGCTGAAGTTCAGGGCCGGCTTTAGAAGTGTGTAGGCCCTAGGCCAAGTATCACACACATTCATAAAAACATTTAATTTTATGGACCTTTCTATACATCAGATATGATTTTTATAACACGCACTAAAGCCACATAAAATTACTAGTATAATATAAGACTAATTGTATATAAGCATAGATTCCAATGTTATTCAAATTGCACAATATATTTTGAGCGTGAAAATTATAAAGTTTTAAATGTAAACATATGCCAAACGTATCAATATTTGTACCTTTAATACACTATTCTTATTTCTTTTTGAATTAGAAAATTACTTAGAACCTAATTACTATCAAGATTAACCACATCTTTCAATAGAGCTCGTTTGTGAAGAAACCTCAAATTAGAAAAATTCACAAATACAAATATTTGTGAAAATTACAAATAAAACCAAATAGCTAGTACAATCAAATTAGTTAAAAAATTATACTTGTATTACATAGTACAATAATTTTATTCAAGAGCAGCCCACTTTCCCTGCTAAAATTACTTTATATATAAAGTATTTAGGACTATGGAATTAAATTCTACAAAATATATTGGGAAAACTGTCAAATAAGTCTATCTAGTTTTACCAAAAAGTCAATTAAGTCCATATACTTTTTATTGAATCAATTAAGTCCTCCAAGTGTCAAAATTTAACCAAATCGTCCTTTCAGCCGGTAATCGATCGGTTTTCCGGTTAGATCGTGTAGCTGGCTGTTTTTAAATACCTTTTCTTTTAATTCATTTTTCTCTTTCCCCTATTTTTTTCTCTTTCCCCTATTTGTTTGTTTCCTTGGTGCTCTGCGTCTAGCCGTCAACTGCAACTCTAGCAGTCCAGGAGCTTGGCTTTCCTTAGTCCTTCAATCTTCTTCCTGGCGGATCCACCACCGTGTTATGGGGGTAGGGGTGGAGGAGGGAGAAACTACGGAGGTAGGGGCGCCGGAGGAGAGGCTTCGAAGGTGGTGGCCATGGAGGTTGGGGTGGTTGCAGGTCGCTCCAATGGAGGAGACGAAGGTGGAATCTGCGGAGGTGGTTGTCGGGACAGTTGAGTGCGGCTTTAGGGAGGTCGGGGCGGTTGGAGGTCGATCACTGCAGTGGACGAGCCGGAGGTGGTTGTTGGAGGCGGCGGGTACGGAGGTAGAAGCGTCGGAGATGGAGGTGGCGCGCGGAGAAGGTGGCTACGAAGACGCACAACGGAGATGGATATCACGGTGGTGACCGGTTTGGAGGTGGGGCGGCAGAAATGGAGGAAAGGTGGCTGTGGGTGGCTGGCCTTACTCCCCTCTTAGCCGGCTCTGTTGAAGTTGATCTGAAGACCTCTCCTTTGATACACTCCTTTCCCATGATTTCAATTCAAGTGAGAAGTAGTGGTGGTTCAAGTAGTCCACTCCGTAGACTTTAGATTCCCTTGTGGGAGGTCTTGAATTTAAGCCATCAATGAGGTGAAGAATTATACCATACCTACTGGTTTAGGGTGTCATTGTTGCTGTCACTAGTGTCATGTCACTGCCGTAGTGAAGCATGTCATTACGATCACTAGAAAATTTTCTAGAGAAAATAAAATTGGGCAAGTGACCTTGATTAATACTAAAAGTTACGGAGTATAATACTCCCTCTGTCCCTAAATTTACTTCCATTTCGCTTTTCGAGAGTCAACTTAAATCACTCTTAAACTCTTACTTTTTGTATCAAAACTTCATGAAAATTGATTTTTTTTTTGCAGACTTTGTAGCGGGTTTAATGTAGTTTCTGAATATGTAAATTTTATTTACTAAAAATAATCCGAGTTTTCACAGGGATCATTTAACTTTATCGTCGGTCAACCTTCGTAATCCGCAATTGGAACAACATTCAGAGACGGAGGGAGTATAAGTTATTATAAGTTTTATACTTGTGTAAAAGTATTTTTAACAATATCTTTGTATAAATTTTACTACATAGATAGTATATTACAAATATTTTTTGCATAAATAAAGCATGGGTCAAAGATTAATACAATATATTGACAAAAAACTAGGAACGATAAATTTTAAAGAATGGAGTACGTATTATTGCGTATGACGTATTTACGTATATATTGTACGTAGTACTTCACAGTTCGCACTATTACATGATTACACATATACTCCGTACTTCATAGTTGACATTTTCTCTTGTCTAAATTCACTACCAAAGGAAACAAATACGTTTATTATTGAACGCCACTTCACCACATGCATTATTCTGACTTACTAATTAGTGTCATAGCGTGTGAACTAAAAATTGAACCACTTGCGGATATCAACGACCTTAATAGATAGTCAAAGTAAGAAAGACAGCTATATATACGAAAAATAACGAAGCTTTAATAATTTTAATAAATAATACACATAGCCAAAGAAATACAATGAGAGAGGCACTACTTGCTGCCATTCTTCTAATCAAAAGTCAAAACACTTAAACACTACTATCATGCAGCCAATACGCAAGTTCGTTGTTTCCCTTCAACTTGCCTCCTTTATCCTCCTCTTATTGCTTCTTTCACCACCAACCATAGCCCAAACTCCACCTTCTAAGGCTACAACCACCACCACTACAATCACCAATCGCGCCACCATCACGAAACCGGGATGCCCACGAAAGTGCGGAAACCTAACGGTTCCATACCCGTTCGGAGTGGGCTTAGGCTCGGGTTGCGCTCTCAACCCGAGCCTGGAAATCAACTGCAACGCATCGAACAATCCTCCAACGCCTCTAATCACATCGGACCAGCTCCATGTATACGACATCTCCGACTCCCACGTCTGGATCTCCAACTCCGTTACTACCCGATGCTACACCTCGACGGGGGGCATGCTCGGGCAAACATCTGCTGGGATCGACCTCGGCGATTCCAGCCCATACACTTTCTCAGATAAAAACAAGTTCACCGTTGTCGGGTGCGACGACTCCGCCGTCATGATCGGACACAACCTCGGGAACGGGAAGAACTTCGCCAACGGCTGCGCCGTCTCTTGCGCCGCGCCGGAGGATGTAATCGGCGGAAGCTGTATAGGTTCCGCCGGTTGCTGCCAAATCACGATCCCGAATGGATTGAAGACGGCTAATGTAACTAATATGCGCTCCCCGTCCGGTCATGCTCGGGTCTGGTCCGGTAACCCCTGCGGGTACGCGTTTATTGGGGAAGCCGGCCGGTATAGTTTCCGGGGCTCCGGTGACCTTAAAAATCCCAATTTTAGTACGATGGTTGGGGAAAGCGTTCCGATTGTACTAGATTGGGCTATAGGGAATCTGAGTTGTGAGGGAGCAAGGAAGAAAGATGATTATGCGTGTAAGGAGAAAAGTCATTGCGTTGACGTTGACTATGATTCTGGAGGTTACCGTTGTAGCTGTGACGATGGTTATAGGGGCAATCCTTATATCTCTCTGGGCTGCCAAGGTACGCTACCATCTTTATTAATTATATACGGAGTATTGCACATTTCCAGTCCAAATTAATAATATTCTGGTAGTCTTTTTAGAAAGAAAATATGATTAATATGCTTCCATTTAATGATTTATTCAGGTGCGTGTTTGATAGGTAAAATACCAACTTTCAAGTTTTTGTACTATTAAAACGTTTCTAAAAGTTCTTAATTTTTGACATGAAACTTTTTAAGAGTTTTTTAAAAATAAAATATCCTTTTTAGATGCTACTGTGAATAACCTCTTAGAAAAATCTCTAGTGTTTAGCATTAGTTAACTAATTAGTCTCAACAACTTCTATGCCAAACATAACTAGATCAAATACTTAGTTTTTTTTATCAAACAAACACCAGATTTTTCTTTTAAGTTTTTTAATCACTAACAATATTCAAAGACTAATTAAAGTATTTTTTCGGATCCAGCTCCTCTGCCTTACTTAGGCAGGCCAGGAGGGTGTCATGCCTTGAACCATCAGATCAAAAAATCAATGACATAAAATGAGTGGGTTCATTTTAATCACAAATTTTGAGGCCTCTATTTTAATCCAACCCTCCTATTTCGGTATCGAACTCTGTCATAAAGCAGAGAATCTCAATCCTATTTTTTAGCTAATCGTGTAAAAATACCATGGTCACTTTTTAATTAACTACAATAAGCAGAGCAAGCTAATTAAGGGAGTAATAATGGTTGAGTTTTTCTGATAGATATTGATGAGTGTGAAGATCCAAATGAGAATCCATGTGAAAAGATTTGCACAAACACGCCGCTAGGAAGCTATACTTGCTCTTGTCCAGATGGGTACACTGGCGATGGTAAGAAGAATGGGCAGGGCTGTGTTGCAACTGGGTCAGAATTTCCATGGATCAAATTTTCGGTAGGTAAGTTCTTCATACTTGCTATTTTTTGCGGTTTAATAATAATGATTATGTACACCAAGGATTTTTATTATATTCTCGATTGTTTTCATCTTATTATTGGTAATGAAATTAATTAATTTGCTAATGTAAAAAAGAAAGTAAATAGTACCGTATCTAATTAAATTGTTCTAGTATGTATATCATTCATTCTTTTTTAATTTTGTGAGAGCACATCACCCTTTTCTTTTTCTAAGAAATTACTCCGTATAAATACTACGTTCATCCCTCTAATTAAGCTTGATATAAGAGGAGGTCCATTGTAGTAATGGCTAACAAGAAAATGAGAATTGTATAATGGATTGATATTGCATATTGCATAAGGTGTGAATAAAATAAAAATGAATAAGAACCTACAAATATTAAAAAATATGATATGCGAAAAATTTAGTGAAACGGGTGAAAAACAATAAAACGAGACAATTTAGATATACTACACTAATTTTCTCCATTTTTAGAAAATATCATTGTTGAAATAAAACATTATAGTAAATACGGAATTCAATTCTATAACAAGAAATAATAACTCATAAATTTATAAGAAATACAGTTATATTTCTAAAAAATAAACAATAGTATTCTTTTTTTGTCGATAATTACAATGATATTCTAGTTTTTAAAATATGCAGGGTGGTTTGATGATCAAAAAAATATGTAGGGTGGAGATTGGTTTGCGGTTAGGCTATAATTTATCTGATTTGTAAAACTTGGTCACATCTCACTTGCAAATTAATATTCACCCCTTCCATAAATCTAAACAATTTAACTTACACATGAAAAAAACTTTAACATATATCCATAATTTTAAATAGAAATAAGAAATAACGATAGAAACCACAGAGTGTTTTGGAATTATTGTTATTTAGAGCATCTACAATGGTAGAATGTGCACGATGCACATGTGGCGTGAATGACTTTATACAATTTTGGTATGTTTTTCCCTGCAATGTCAACTGCAATGTCAACATTTAGACGGTCTTCTTGACATTGTGGAGAAAAACTTACCAAAACTGTATAAATCATTCAAATAAGGAGAGAAAAAATTAATTTACTAATATTTATGTGGCTATCTCTCATGCCACGTGTGCACCGTGCACAGTTTACCATTGGAGATGCTCTAAATCGGTAACATATTATTTTTATTTTGACTGACCACACACTCCATGTAAAATTTGTCATACAAATGCCCAGGTTTGGGGATCGGCTTTTTGTCGTTGATCGGTGGAGCAACATGGCTATACTTCTTTGTTAAAAAAAGAAAACTCATTCAACTTCGACAACAATTCTTCGAACAAAATGGCGGCTTAATCTTGAACCAGAGAATAACCACCACAGTAGACGGTGCCGGAGTAGATGCGACGAAAATCTTCACCGCGGAGGAGTTGAAAACAGCCACCAACGACTACTCAAGTGACCGTGAACTCGGCCGTGGGGGAAACGGCGTCGTTTACAAGGGCATCCTACCAGACAATCGTGTAGTCGCCATCAAGAAATCCAAAACTATGGACGAGAGTAAAATCGAAGAATTCATCAACGAGGTGGTCATTCTCACTCAGGTCAACCATCGGAATGTGGTCAAACTTATAGGATGTTGTCTTGAGGTGGAAGTTCCGATTTTGGTCTACGAATACGTCTCCCACGGCACACTCTATGAGCACATCCACAAACCCGATGGCAGCTCTGATTGGCTCTCGTGGGAAATCCGATTAAGAATAGCCACAGAAACCGCCGGCGCACTCGCCTATCTTCATTCATCGGCAGCAATACCTATATTCCATCGAGATGTAAAATCGGCTAATATATTACTAGATGATAATTACATAGCAAAAGTTTCAGATTTTGGTGCGTCTAGATTGATCCCTTTGGACCAAACCCACATAGCCACTTTGGTGCAAGGGACATTCGGGTATTTGGACCCGGAATACTTTCGGACAGGTCAATTGACTGAAAAGAGCGATGTGTATAGCTTCGGAGTAGTAATTTGTGAGCTTCTAACTGGAATGAAACCGGTTTCAAGAGAAAGAAGAGAGGAGGAGAGGAATTTGGCAGCATATGTGGTGAGATCCATGGATAAGAATCAATTGTTCAAGATTCTGGACCGCCGTGTTTTGAAGGAAGCGGCTATGGAGCAAACAGAGAGAGTTGCAGAGCTTGCAAGAAGATGCGTTCACTTGAATGGCAGAGATAGGCCTACGATGAAAGAAGTGGTTATGGAGCTTGAAAGGGTGAGAAAGTTCAATAAGGAGATGTGGAATCGTGAATTGCGAATCTCACGAGATGATGTTATTGATGTTGGTCAAACGGGTGGTCAAGAGGGGTCTTCATCATCGTTAGACCTTTATACGCTTCATTTGAACTCTACGGCTTTCAATAGTGATTATTCTAGACAATACACCAATTCTTCAACTAGTTCCAGACCCACATTTCCCATTAATACTAGTCCACGATGATTATGACGTTTGACAATTCGACATAATCAATTGTATCATTATACATTATAAATTGAAAAATTTTGTGCCTTTTCCAACAATAGATCATTACGTTATAGCACTAATTTAAATGGGATATGTTTTCTCAGTCATTGAAATATATGGAACGCATCGGCAATTTTACCGAATGTGATTTTGTTCACCCTCTTTGAAGAGTGTTTACTTCATAGTCAGTGGCGGACCCATAAATTTTCTATAGCGGGGGTATTGCCTCATGGATGGAAATGAGTCGGGTTGGGTGTACCATCGGCCTATTATGTCTAGTCCGTTCAGAATATTATTTTTAAATGAAAATAGATTATTCAATGTCGGTTTCAAGCAACAATGAACATTTCTGAATTACAAGTCTAGTTTTGAGCGTAACAATTCTAAACAATAATATTTGACTTTCAAAAAGAAAGATTCGGGTATGTATGTTTGTTGACTCTAGGTCTGGTTCTCAACCCAATTAGACCATTATAAACACGAATATTTATATTTTTAAAACAAAATACAAAATGGGGACTATAATTTTTCGATATCACCCTATGTATAAGATCTAATTCCACATAATTGTTGCACCAATAATAATTATAGGTTTTAGTTACAGTCAAGAACTAAAGTCCTGTCAAACACTAAACTTGTACAATAAATTTACTAGTTTGAAATATAATACTATCAAGTCCCAAATCTTTCATGAAAAAATAATTTTCCCAAGGATTATTTGACAAGGAAATGTGAATCATGTTGAGATCCGTGTTATCACAAAAACATTATAATCGAGCCGTAATAAAATATGTGTGAATTCATGCCAAAAACATTATTTTAAATTGTTCATATTTGAAAATTTCAATTAATATATATTGAGTACCATAAACTGAAATGAAAATATTATTTTAGATAAATGGTGTAAAAAAAAGCTTCAAAGTAGTTCATTCTAATGCAATGAAAAGGGAACTTAATCTCAATGTCAATACTAGAGATAAAGTTGTCTATTTAGACAATACTTGACATTAAAATGATATTGTTTTAGACATTGTTTTAAATAATAATTCTTTCTACTTCGTTCTTCAACGCAACAATATTTCTTCATAGCCGGTGGCGCAACCAGAACAAAAGTTATAGGGGCTAAGAAACTTATTAAAACTGAAAATATTGAATTCATCCAATGTAATCTGATAAGTCCGTATTTCGTCACACATTTGATGCGTGTTAAGATCGGTTTTTGATCAGTTGTTATACCGTATGACCGGTATACTGTGAGCACCGTATACCGGCATACGGTTTTTGGCAAGCAGGGTATTTGGCAAGCACTTAATCTTTATTTTTTATTTCTCTTTTTTTAAAAAATGGTAATAACTTTTTTATTTTTGATCCGATTTTTATAAAATTTATACCAACATTTTTTATTTTTCATGATCTTTCAAATGAGACCAATATTGCCTATGTAATTTTAACCTCTGTAAAATATGTAATTTTACGTGTAGAAATATGTAACTCACGCCCACTCAGGCCAAATGCAACTTGTGTGTATAAATATGTAACTCTACGTGTAAAAATATGTAACTTTACTTAAAAAAATATGTAACTCGCATTCAGACAGGTCAAATGCAACTCGTGTGTATAAATATGTAACTCGCGTGTATAAATATGTAACTTTACGTGTAAAAATATGTAACTTTACGTGTAAATATATGTAACTCGCGTTCAGACAAGTCAAATGCAACTCGTGTGTATATATATGTAACTCGCGTGTAGAAATATGTAACTTTACGTGTAAAAATATGTAACTTCACATATAAAAATATGTAACTCACATGTATAAATACCTAATACAATAAATTTTTTATGTACATAATTTTAAGATAAATTGTGATTTACACAATTATTTTTCTGTATTAAATTTAGTTTGGTTTTCCTTATAATCCAATACACATTAATATAATAGTTCGATAATTTCTTAAAATTACATAAGCAATATTGGTCTCATTTGAAAGATCATGAAAAATAAAAAATGTTGATATAAATTTTATAAAAATCGGATCAATATTAAAAAAGTTATTACCATTTTTTAAAAACAAAAGGATAAAAAATAAAGAAACCAGGCTTCAATACTCCGTCGTTTTGCAACCGGGCACACCATCCTCATGGTGCGCCGGTTGCACGATATAATTTGCGGATTTTGATGGTTTTCCTAGGTTAAAGGTGTCATAAGTCTCATTTTTAGTTCAAGTCATATTTTACTGGGCGTTGGTCCGAGTTTGATTTTTTTGGAGACAAAAGAGCTCTATGATTGACTACGGGATCAAAAGAAGATGAATAGAGCTTGAAAACGGCGATCGGGGTGACCTTCTACCAATCTTTCAAGCATATCTTTTTGTAGAAACATCCAAAGTACATGATTGAAGTTCCATATGAAAGCTAACTGCAAGGTCTACAAATCATATGAAGACACCATTATGATAATCTGAGAGGAGCAAGGTGAAAACAGACGATGAAGCCAGATGATCGCTGTTAATATTTCAGGATGCGACCTTCCACCATTGTATTCATATCTTTTAATTGGATGATTCCAATCCAGTTTTGCAAGTTTTGTTGCATATCATATTTCATTAGATACAACTTTGTTGAAGGAAACATAGCCAAATTCGGAAGGGAAAGACGCACGCCATGCACCCGAAGTACGTGCCGTGCGCGGATGAGAAAAATCGCAGGGAGCTACTGGAGTCCACGCGCGCTGTACTATAAACTACTACATATTGATTTTTGTTTACTTCAGTTATTTACACAAGTATCAAGATAAAACAATGTAAATCCCTAAACTAGTTAAACATTACTCGCTCCGTCCAATTGAACTTTGCCAACTTTTCCTTTTTGATTGTCCCAAAATACTTTGCCATTTTCTTACTAAAGCAACTAATTGATGGTTCTGCACATTTGTCTCTCCTCCCCTGCACTAACATCAACCACACAGTTTTCACTTTCCTTATTTCTCACCTATTTCAAACTTGGCAAAGTCCATCGGGACGAAGGTAATATTAAACATCTAAAAAAAATTTTTACTTTGAAAATCTGAAACTTGAAAACCTGAAAGAAAAACCTGAAAAAGAAATAATTAAAAGAATAGTCAGCCTAAAAGAATATACTAACAAGTTAAGAAGAAAAACATTACGACGCAAGTTAACACATTATCTCAACTAGATTTTTCACCCGTGCTTCGCACGGGATGCAGTTATTATGTAATAAATTATCTATGAATATATATAGAAATATAATATTAAATGTTGTGATAAAGATAGAACAATGCATATATTATTTTTAACAAAAGTAAATGAAGATTAAAAAATCACAAATTATTATATACTCCCTCCGTCCCCTTTTAAATGTCCCATTTTACCATATTGAGATGTCCATATTTAATTGTCTCATACCTTATTTGGTAAAGTTTGTGTGGCTCAAAATCATTCTTACTTTATTCTTAATTTATCAATTAATATTAACCACACAAACCCACTTTTCTTAAAACTAGTGTCACCCTCTTCCAGGACATTTAAAAGGGGACGGAGGGAGTACTTCTTTGTACAACATTTAAAGCTTTTTTTTTTGCTGGTTTTCTATACCGAAAAAAAAACACCACCAACTATTTGCTCTACAAATTTTAAAATTTTCTCATAAATAACACGTTGCTCATCATTCATATCAACCATCAAGCTTTCGTATTCCTCGGCCAAGTGACGCTTATCTTATCTCATTTTCTCATTAATGAGAAATCTTGTCATCTTTCATCAAAGGCATGTATGATTCAAGGGGCAATGACATTCCAAAAAAATCGTGTAATGATCTTCATCGTAGCTGGAGAAATTTCTCTATCTCCACTAAATATCATTTCTCTCTCTCTCTCTTCATAATCCATTTCATACTCTACTGAAAAGATTAAAGTCATATTGATTATGTGACTTACACTAAAACCTACCTATTAAATCATAAAAAGGTCAAACTCCAAGAGAAATAGTTTTAAGAGAAATCGCCCTAAATAGGAGTAAAACGTTTTGAAATTCCAAAATAGAACTATCATGTTTTTTATTCCTTGAATAGGAGTAATCTGCCAAGTTTGGAAAAAATGTCATGTTTAAAGCCCTGTAATGCCAAACTTGGCAGAAATTTACTCCTATTCAAGGAATAAAAAACATGATAGTCCTATTTTGGAATTTCAAAACATTTTACTCATAATTAGGGAACTCTCCCTAGTTTTAATAGACTATATCAAAACACGCATGTGACCTGGATCTTTTTAGTGTCCTCATATTTAACAACAATATATCTTTTGAAAAATATTGCCAACATCTTACCCACACCAAATCCACAATTGAAATGCGCCCGCAATAAGTAGAGTGGCAAACACCTCTAATAATTTTTAAAAATAATGGTTATATATTATATATATTATATATGTGTGTGTAAGTCTTACTTATTTTTACGTTTAAATACATCACGTGCCCGTATTTTATTTTATTTTTTATTTTAAATATCACAATATATTTTTCGTATTCACATTTTCACATACTCCGTATCAATTCTACATAACATGTGAGTGTTAATGTGTTAGGGGTAGGTCCAGATTTTATATTTTTATATATGCAATATATGTAATTACATGAATGAATTAACGTATAAAAAATCTGTGTATTATATACATGTGTTTCATTTATGATAAGAGTCTTTTTCATATTTTTCCTTACTTAAAAAATTTACTTCGTCTACCCCAATAAAGATATTCACTTGTTTATTTTGAACATCTCATTTAAAAGTTCATAATTTGGTTTTAGGAAATGATTGACTCTATCAAAAGATTCAAAATACAAAACTGAATTAACACTTCATATGTGAATAGCAAAATGATCCACAATCATATTAAGGCAAATGAAAATATACATTTTGGTACATATGAGAGTGAAGAAAATGTAGCTCATAATGGCTACATTTTCACTGTAGCCAATTTTTAAAATAAACAAATATTAACGTAAAAGAACAGGAAATATATAGGATGTTTTTACTTGGAATGAAATTTTCTGGTCTAGTC